GTGTGTGTGTGTGTGTGTGTGTGTGTGTGTGTGTGTGTGTGTGTGTGCGTGTGTGTACTACTGAAAAAGGAAGTATAACACAGGCCTGAGAGTGTGAAATGTATCCGCTGCTTGACCTCTGACCTCTCTACAGATTCTAACAAAACAGTCATGCAAGTTTTCATTCTCATACGGGAGAGACGTGCAAAACATGGCGTCCACGGAGTGTGAAAAGACATCTAATCGTGTTGCTGCTACTGCGCGTGGTGTCATATTTTTTCATCTGTGAGTCATTAACGCCGTTTTCCGCTTTGTGTCTGAGTCCTTATTGTTGTAGCTGTAAACAAATAAACCCTGCCGCTGAGAAGCCTCGACGCTGCATTTTGCGTGCCCCCAAAAAGACCCCAAAAAGATTATGAAAGGAATAGTCTGACTTATATGCTAGACTCTATCTGCTAGATGTCTGTACAGTGAATATGAAGCTAAGCTCTGCGTAAAGACTGGAAACAGCTCGTCAGCTCCGTCCAAAATCTGTCTTCATTTGTTTGTACACAAACTAAAGTGTAAAAAAAAGGTTTTCATGGTCAATTTTTACAGGATTTATTTATATTCACAAATGACACATGCAGCACCTTTTAATTAAAGTTGTTTAAGAGTTGTTGGAGGCGTTACATCCAAAGTTTGTCCTGCCTTGGTGTGACAAAAAGCCCCATCACCTGACCGTTTGTGAAACGAAGCGGCCTCTCTCCGTGGTGAAAAGAGCGCTGCGATGCTGAGACACAAAGAATGCTAATACTAATAATGAATATTTCATTGTTCACTGGGAACAATGGAGGCCTGGCTCAGCACCAGTGTTTATAGTGGGCCCACTGGTCAGCAGAAACGACTTATCTGAAATAAAAGGAGTTTCTCGGCTCCCGTCTTATCGGAGAAGAGCAGCGATTGTGAAGATTACATCTGCAGGAGAAAGGAAAAGACAACGAGTCTGCCTTTACACTCACAATTACCCAGTGTGGTGACATTGCAGAGGACAAATTCACACTTCTCAGTTATTGTCATCTGCGCCCCCCTCCCCCTCTCACCATCCTGCTCTGCTGCTGCTAGCCTCCAGTCAGGAGGAAGCGACCATGGAATCTGATGCGGCCTGAAGCGAAGGAAAGGTCAGAGTCCCTTCCTCTGCCTCAGGATAGCGCAGACCTATGTAGCTATTTTCCATAGCTGAAGTGTGTGCGTCTGTGTGTGTGCCTTCATTACTCTTTCTTTCTTTCTTTGTTTCTTTCTCTCTCTCCGTCTCCCTTTTTCTGTTTCTCCATCTGGACTTGCGTGGCGTTCCACTCCATGACACACCAGAGTCATTTCGTTTTGGCAGCACAGTTGGTATCCTGCCGATGCCGAGTCCCATAGGGAGTGGCAGGCAGAGACTGCTGCCGTTTAGACCGGCCAACCTGGCCATGGATACATACAGCAACAAAATGAAAATACTTGTTAGGATTTAAAGTATCCTTAAGTCAGACACAGTGGAGAATGTATCTGTCAGCGTGACGCATGAGTGAGTGAATAAATGACAGATGCGACCTCTAACAAACTTTGACTCCAACCACATTGGATGTCGTCATGAGTTTGTCTCAGCAGATGTCAGATGTAAGACGGTCATCGTCCTCGTCAAACAACCTGTGATACGATTTTGTTTTTTGTTGCAGAATATTAAATGAATCCCTCTAGAGCTTGAATAGAAGTAAAGGGTCATTCTGCCTCAAAGGGCTGGTAGCCCTAACAGATGAATTAGTCAGCGGAGAGCTTTAGTATCCTGTGATGCTGCTTCAGAGGCTTTCCACCCTGCCATGGCTACACTTGTCTGAGAAACAATGAATATCAAATTAAACAGCAGGCAGTTGTTTTTTAAGTGAAAAAGCTCTGATAAACTGTACGCTGTACACTACCGCAAACAAAAAGCGGTCTTTCACCAAGGGGACCGCTGTTTACGTGTGACGTAAACGTATATTAATGTGTCAGGTTACTTCCGTACTTAAGTAACCTGACACCTGCAAAGTTATTTAAACCCAAACCACGGTCTTTTCCAAAACCTAACCAAGCATTTTTGTTGCCTGAACCTAATCAAGTGTTTCCCAATATTTTCCTAAACCTAAACAACTAGCTATGTTTGCCCCGTACCTAACTAAGCTGTTTCCTATGAAGACGGAAGTTTACTTTGAAAAGACCGCATGGAACAAGTCAAGTGTTGACACGTGTTGCTGGCTTTGGTCTGCTAATGCATTCTCCATAACAACAATGTTAAAAGACATAAAATGTCTACAGTAATAGGGCCATCTCGTTTCCAAGGGGTTAACCCCGAGTAGTCGACTATTCAACGATTCGATCTAAGGAGCCAGATTCAACAGCCAATCTCACAGTGGACTCGTCGCAGTGATCGGACAAATGTGTAACGTAACAAAGGATCATTCATAAATACCAACAGGGCTATTTCCAAGAACAGGCCCTTACCTAAACTCAGCTGGGGGGGGGGGGGGGGGCGTGTAGAAACAGCTGTTCTCTCTCTCGTTGACAGTCCCTTCACTTCCCTGTCGTTTCCCTTTTGTCTGTGGATTGCAACAACACGGAAAATAGAATTAGGACAGAAAGTTATATTTACAACAACGAAAAGCAAGCAGGATAAGAAACCTTGTCTTTCTGTCTATCGATCGCCGCTCAAAAAGCTGCTCAAAAAGCTTCAGTCACACGACTATCACGAACACAGGTTATGAATGACTTCACGGCCAATCAGGAAACATGAACTCATCAACCTGTTGGGTGTCAAGAAGTCCTACAAATGTATCTATATTGACAATACAGGTATATACACACACTAGCTTTGTAAAATCATATCGAGTTCACAGCATACCAACACATCACATACATATTTATTTACCGCACTACACTGTTCACAACTCAGTCAGTGACTCACATCAGGGCTGGGGGGGGCTTTGCTGTCTGCCCACAGATGCCTATCCTAAAACAGAGATGATCTACACGTGGACCAAAGGGCCTCAGCATTCAGTGGAGGTCCCCCCTGAGTCCTCCAGCCTCGTTCAGTATGATCTCATCGGCCAGACGGTCTCCAGCGAAACCATTAAATCCATCACAGGTGAGACTCGCTCGTCCTCCTGCCATTTTGACTTACCAAGCTAAATGGCTCTTCTACAGATTCATTACAAAAGATATTTTATTGAAAGAAAAGATGTTTGCATGGATTATACTGTGTCAAACCTGGTAGACTTTGCCAGGTCTGCGGACAAATACTGTCGAAATGCAACACACTGCATTGGACCGCGATCAGCAGACGGTACCAGCCTCTTTAAATCAAACCCTGTCAGCATCATGTGTCGAGGCACTTTCAGATAAATAAATACTGAAGGATCCCAAAAAAGATTTTAGCAGCAGGAAGTTGGCTGCCACGCGTCCGTCCGGGTGAAAATGGACGGGGTCGCTAAAATGCAGAGGAGCACGAAAAACAAAAAAGCCACCACATAGAATAAAAGATGACATCTGTCTGAAGCTAAGTGAAATCTTGGAATTCTTTGTTAATGAAACTAATTCACTTCTGTTGATCCTCCAGGTGAATATGTGGTGATGACGGTCTACTTTCACTTGAAACGTAAAATGGGCTACTTCATGATTCAGACGTATATCCCCTGCATCATGACAGTGATCCTCTCCCAAGTGTCGTTCTGGATAAATAAGGAATCGGTCCCGGCCCGCACGGTCTTCGGTATGTAGACCTCGCACATCCCCCGTCCTGTTTGTTACATGATGCCTGCTGCATGTGTGTCTCTCCACTCTGCTCCACAAGGTGATGTTACAGCGAGAGGTGATTATTAGGAATATAAAGAACTGCTGTGTTTTTTGTTTTGTTCTTCTACTCAAGATTGCCTCGTGCAAGGCTATATTCACTGCTGTTGGTTTTAAGACTGGTTTGAGACGCTAGAATAAACAGCTGACAGCATTAGGAAAAAAACATTTTGATGCATCTTCTAAGCAAAGACGCCTCAAGCAAAGAATGCAGGTTTACAAAAACGGTTTTGGCTCTCATATCCTGATACAAAATCTTCTCTAGTAATATAAATACCCCTCTAAATGGGTTTAAACTCTTGTAAAACCTTGATGGCGAATGATGCCCTGTGAGAGTATTTAAAGTAGTTGTTATAGGCAAGATGCCCCAGGAGGAAATCTTAAATTTAAGTGTCTGCATAAAGAATACCCAATAAAGAGCAGTTAATACAAAAAAAAGGCCTGTTTAGGTTTATATTTATAGGGTTAAGGGTATTTCTGTTGCAGTGTTACTCAGTACTATCGTTACAGTTAAAATCAGTTAAAACTACACATCGCATATGAAAAGTGTGATGTTGTTACATTATCTGGCATTTCATCACATTCTAGCCATCATTTCTACATCATCAGTAGCTTTCGGTTTTTCACTTAACCCAGTTTGCTCTCCACGGCTCCCCTGTTACAACGTTTGGGTCGCTGTCCTAGAATAGACTGATTAGTGTGTGTCGATGGAGAGGCAGGGCGACAGACAGAGCTGCTAAAACCAGAGCGGTGTTGCTGACTGGTGCTGGTTTGCTATTAAGGGACGTCTCAGTCTGGTAATTTGTCGACCACGTTCCTCCACTTACGTTGATTGGAAAGTCACTCAATGATAATGGCACGGACACTCGTCCGCCATTTCACAAGTAGTTCTGGTAGATTATCTGTTTGGAGCATTGTTTTCAAGAGGTAATTGTAACTTGGGTAATGGGAGGGAAGAAAAACGTGAGTGAATAATGATTCTTGGAGCCGCTTTGTGACATGCCAGCTGTTATCCAGCTGTTAATGTTAATAATGCCAGCAGTGTGTTCCAACAGGAAAGTGGTCTGTTAGTGAAATATAGTCTCTACTAGTCGCAACAGCAGCTCTGGTGGTGTTTTCATTTTGTCTGTGTGTGTGTATGTGTGTGTGTCATCATGGCTACCTGTGATCCTGAAGAGGTTTTGAGCACTTCGTCACACCTGTACCAGATGCAATCACGAAACTTTACAGGTGTGTAGTTGAGATCAAGATGAAGGCCGACGTGAAGATGGGTGTAGTCTGAACAAGGGTGTCGGGGGGGTTGAAAGTGGTGAAGGGGCCCCTGACCCCATTTGGCATCTCAAGATTGTCTCTAGTTCATGATGGTTTTGTTTCTTTCAGTGAAAATGCACCACTTTTTTAATAAGATATGTTTATAAGTAATGGCTCAATTAATGGTTCATACAGTAATTGTTAACTAATGCTTTATAGATCAGTTATATGAAATGAATGAGGACAACGCTGGAGCTGCTAGGTTTTGAAAAATCCCTGCCTGTTTGAACTGTCCACTTGCATTCTGGGAAAGGCTCTGTTGAGGATCTGCTCTAAAATCCACAATGCGACACATTCACACCACAAGCTCCAATTATTGGCTTGTAATATCTTTATAAAGCATTAGTGAATGATTTACAAACCAACCAAGAATTAGTTACAACTTACAAAGTCTTTATAGATTGTGCCTTTTTGTAATCCTCAGTACAGGTATATCATGGATGACGAAATAAGTCAATTGATCAAATCACTTGAGGTAACTTATCAGACTTCACACTGCTTCCTGTTGTTCCACATCAGGCTCCATGCAACATTTTTCACATGTACAGTTTGTGCTGCCCTACACCTGTAGACTGACTCTGGTGCGTAACGTTGGAACACTTCCCCTTTAATTATAATAACGGGCCTGTTTTTGGCTGGCAGTGGCATTTAGTCAAACTGTGACAGCACACTGAATCACTAATGGTGACCCAACAACCAACCCCCATCAATAATGGTTTTGCTGCTGGTGACACACACACACACACACTGCAGTGTCACCTGTATCCATTCAGTGTGCATTTGACACGGTGGGTGTTTCTGTTGACAGTGCAGTTTGTGTTTTGAGTCCGAGTCGGCTAAGCAGAAACAACCCAGTGTGACCCTCAGTAGAAATGTCTCTCGGTGTCGTGGAGTGCAATAAAGCACTTGGGGATCAATGCCGCTCTCCTGCGGTGACCAATGTATCTGACAGTCCGGCTGCACAGCCCCCCCTCCTCCCCGCCACAGCAGCACAACTGTTGTTGCATCAGTCGAGCCTCTGAGGCAGCAGATTTCTGCCATTGTCCGCTGTGTTTTGAATGTGCGTGCTGCGGCGGTGGGTGAGGTTGGGATGGGAAGGGAAGGGGAGGAGGGTGGACGGTGTTTGGATTTCTCCTCTTCCTGCTTGGGTGACTTAACCACGGCGTCCTGCTAGGAGCACGGGAGAGGCAGTTTGTCAGGAAACTGGTCCTTTTCACGGAGTCTGACATGTTGCGCCGCCATGTTTCTGCCATGTAGCTCTAGTGAGTTAACATTGTTATGGTACCTTAAGGCCACCGTAGGTTGAGGAGGAGTGATTGTATTCAGTTGGTTGCAATCTGCAATCTCACCACGAGATACACTAAAGGATGAAAAAACTGCAGGAACAGAGAGACAGGGTTAAAGCACTGAAACAACACTTGGGAGAAAACTCTGAATTATCTTCAAACAGCACGGCCAAGAACTACTAGCTACCACGTGAGCTGTAAACAACGATCTGGCAAAGAGTGGATGAAGAACCGGGGTAGATATACTGTTGGGTTGATGAGTTGATGGAGTGCAGCTGGTTTGACTGGGCAGGTGAGGTGAGTTGTAATTAGGAAGCTGGGAGGAGACCAGGTCGAAGCCCTGCCCATAAGATACACACACGGGACAAGCAGGAGGCACGGCCTGGCCGTGCCAAACTTGTAATTTTGGGGAGTTATGTAACTATTTTGGCCAACAAAAACTGACCTGCCAGAGCCTTGTTGTCACAGTGAGGTCGCCAAGGAAACCTCATTATATCAGATGCAGAAGTAGTGATCGGCTGGATAAAGAGCTGTTTATATAAATTTAATATATGTATTCCCCAAAATCTGGAACTGTTTATTTTAGAGGAAAAAAGGTGGTGTGATATCTTTTGATACACATCAAACTTGTAGTTTTTACAGCTTGTGTTGCTGCCCCCTAGTGACCAAGAAATTCACGAAGGTGTAAATACTGCGGTTCTCTTTGTAAATGTCTCCCATATCAGAGAGCCAAATATCTTATGGTGTTTAATGCAGTGCATGCTGATCTGTGGGGAAAAGATATTTGGTCTTAATCTTAAATTACAATATTTTGACTTCCAACACAGATCATGTGTCCGCTATCACTCATGTACGGGCTCATATGTTTGATATTCTCTCGTTTCTGTTACCACTGAAGGCATCACCACTGTCCTCACCATGACGACACTCAGCATCAGCGCCCGCCACTCCCTTCCCAAGGTCTCCTACGCCACCGCCATGGACTGGTTCATCGCCGTCTGCTTCGCCTTCGTCTTCTCCGCCCTCATCGAGTTCGCCGCCGTGAACTACTTCACCAACGCGCAGATCGAGCGCGCCAAGAAGAAGCCGGCCAAATGTCCCCCGGTGCCCCAAACCACGCCTGTCAAGGTCAAGGACACGGAGGAAGCGCTGCAGGTGATTTTTTTCGCTTCCCTCAAAGTGGCCGTGGCGAATAGTCTGATAGCACTTAACTTCGAGTAGCACTTACACAGCGTGTCCCATATTATGTGCTTACTGTATCTGGCCTTTAGCCTAGACTTTTGAGCGGGCCAGGAGTGGGCCCGCCTGAGGACCGTCAGCTGTGCTCCTGCTCATAGAGCAGAGAGGATTTGAGCTGTAGAGGAAACGGGAGAAATCTGATCCCAGGATGTGAGTTTAGATCACCGGAACCTGTATCTGATCGTTTCTTAGCACCGCAAATCTGAACATACTGTACTTAAATCCCACACTAGACTAACACACAAAACCACTCTTTTATGGTCATTCACTCTTTTTTTTAGCTTTCTCCACCCACAAATGATGTTTGATTATGTGGGAAATTGCAACAATTTCTCCGGGGCTGCCAGCGTTCCTGGAAAAGGTCAAAACATGAATTCTATCTACCTGATTACACATATGATTGCTCTGTCCACCACAGCTCGACATGTTGAAACAGCGTGCTTGTGAAACGTGGTGAATGAGGTGGACTTTAAAATGATGCACTTAAAGGGATAGCTTGGGTGTTTTTGAAGTGGGGTTGTATGAGGTCCTTATCTATTGTCAGTGTATTACAGTAGACAGGAGTACCAGCACGGGAGCAACGCAATCTACTGCTGTGGACGCGTAAAATACGCTATATTTAGAATATTTTCTTTACCTTGCAGTCACACAGCCCTTTCCGACGGGAAACCGAAGGTGTTATCTTTACCAGCGACTCCTGTGTTATGCGAGGCAAAAATTAATTTTGTCAAAGGAGTCTTCTGGCTTTGAAGAGAGCATAGATACCATCTTCTGTTCCCCAACGGAAAGGGCTGACTGACGGCAAGGTAATGTGGGGAATATATTCAAAATATAGCAAACACTTAAACTGACATTGGTCTTTTTTTTAGATGGGCCATTCTTTTAGGTGTCCAAAAAAATACGTTTAGCTGATGCCCCACACCCCCCCCCCCCCCATCCACAGCAGTACATTGCTTTGCTCTTGTGCTGGTACTTCTATCAGTATCTCCAAACTGGGGGTGTGCCAACCACCATCTACTGGATGTAAATCCAAACTGGCCCTTTAAAATATTCCCCGCAACCCCAAAAATCAACCTGGACTAATTTAGCTTTTATCCAGTCTTCAATTTGGCAGCTCTTTATTTGACTCTGATTTAAAGCAGACAGACAAACATGTGAAAATGAGAAGAAAGAAAAACCCAACAGCATCTGAAACAGCTTCCCAGCACAGATCTTTACAGCAGATCGAGGTGTTTCTCAATGACGGTGTGTTTGCTTTGGAACCCTCGTTTTGAAATTCCACACGAATACATTGCCATAATCTCTCATTTCTGCACCACTAGTTGAGACAAATCACATTGACACCATGGCAGCTGACATATGGATTGGATCAGAATTCATGAATATGCCATGCCGCTATTTCAGAGCTCCCAGTCAGATATGATGAACGTGTTACAAATCGCTGTTCGAGTAGCTGTAGCAACGTATTTATGGTGCTGCACGAACACTGTTTTGACACGTGGATGTGAAAAGAAAAGCAGAAGTGCACATTTCTTAGACTTCCATGTTCTTCCCAAAGAACATTGAATATATAGGCCCACTGTGAACCGATCACTGGAGCTGACATAACCCAGCAATGCATATGTCAGTTTTACACTCACTACTTTAAGTTGCCCCCTCCAGTTCAAATCCCAGTGTGGCGTAATCACGCCTGAATGCGGTGTAGTGACAACAGCGCTTCACTGGATTAGTAGGTTGCCACGGCAACGGGTACATCTGTATAGGTTTCAGAAAGGCTCCGGAGGAAAGAATTAATACTCTGTTCCTGGAGAGCAGGTCCTGTTGGCGTCAACCACAGGGCTTGGCGTGAGGGGCCCTTGACAAGGCCCTGGATTGACGGTTCCAGGCCCCTGGCCCTTGACCTCCACTGTGACGGAAAAGCAAACACACACACACACATACACGGGACACAATAACACCCTTTCATTTTCAGGGGCTGGGGGGGGATAATTCCTGCAAACGCCTCAGAACCAGCATCACACTCTCCCTGCTTGACAACATCGACTCTCAAAGGATAAGCTCCTTTGACGCTACATGGCATTACCGCCCCGATGAAGTGCTACCTACTTTCTGTCTTAAGCTTGTGTGAAATGAGTGAAATCCTCGGTAAGTGACATCCGTGTATCGTCCGCTTCCAGATGAAGGCCATCTGGGTCAGGGGGACGACAATCAGACAATCGGATCAATATGTCGAGGTTTACGTCGCGTGCTACGCTTTTTCGGAGAGGGGGGGGGAAGTGAGCTTTACAGTACCTCAAAACGCCTTAAAACATGAGGCCGACAGGAGGAATGTGATTATTCCTCAAACTGTTTTCTCTCAAAAGATGCTCCACAATTCAACAAAACAACAGACCAGAACTTTAACTTGAAATGCACAACACTATCACTTAGTAAAAACCAATATGAATCAGTTTGGCAAACGTTTTGGTCTTATATTTTAATATCTTTCTACCTTAACAGAGTCCGACCAATAACATGTTCCAATACCAACATAGCTGTTATTAGATAATATTGGCTGGTCAATTTGTTGGTCAAGTTCTACTGTCGAACATTAGCAGGAGCGGGTTGCACCAACTGGTCTTTACTAAGCCTGGTGCTAAATGCTAAGTCGGTCTTTGTTAAGACCAGTCTTTAGAATGGACGTTGAGTTGGTTGCACCAACCAAACTTAAGCCTAGTCTTAACTACACCCAGTTTTGGCCTTGAGCTGTCGCTTTTTCCCCACGTAGTATTTGCGTTATGTGGGAAACAGTTCGTAAAAATGTATTGCAAAATAGTGCAAATTATTCGCACGTAAAGAACGCCCCCGGTGTGTAAAGGTCTTAAGACGTAGATATATCCTTACTGGTTTTTTTCTCTCTTTTTCAGCAGAATCCCGACAGCAACGGTAACCTTAGAAAGCGGATGAATTATATCTCCCACCAAGAGACCAGCCGTCACCAGAGAACCATGTCCACCACCAACATTTCGGGCGTCCGTCGAGCGAGAGCGCTGCGACCTTTGGCCGGCGGGGTCAACGGCAGCTCCTCCACCCTCTCGCGCTCCAGCCCCAAGTCCGAGAGCCTGCTCAGCGTGGCCTCCTCCTCTGCCCAGCTGGTAAAGAGTGCGCCGCAGGCTGCGGCGTCCACGCCGGACGTGATGGCAGCGACGCCGTGCAAGCAGAACGCCAGCTCCTCGTCCCTGCAGCATCTGCTGGGGCCCAAGTTGGAGCGCATCCAGATGATGGGGAACAAGCTGGAGCTGAAGCAGACGCCGTGCTCGCAGCCCACCACCGCCGGCATGGGAGGAACCAGCAAAATTGACAAGTATGCACGGATCCTGTTCCCAGTGTCCTTCGGGGCTTTCAACATGGTCTACTGGGTGGTTTACCTATCAAAGGACACGATGGTGGCTAAAGGTGGCTAGGCTCTGCTCCGGTGACGAGCGTGAAGACTCTTTTCTTTCAACAGATGGGAAGCAAACAAGGATTATGGGAGTTTGCAATAAAAAAAGAAGAAAACTGTTGTTCTTGCCAAACAGATGAACAAAATGTGCTCGCCAAGCACTTCCATATCCCAGAGAACATATTTATTTTCTTCTTCCTAAGGTCCTCGAAACAGCAAGCATGGGAGCAAATCACCAATTTAGAAATATCTGACTCGACATAAAGAAGAACACCTGCACACTGGAAGATGCCAGTGTCCTCTTTGTATCGTGCTACGTCTGACTGTTAAAAGGTCTGCATCGGCTTCAACTGCCTCATGATCCCTTTTGGCCTGCAGTCGAGATAAAGCATGGGATTTTTTCATTTTCCTATTTTTGTACCCTGCACCTGGCAAGAGGTTCGGATGCGTGCACCGCCGTCCTGGAATGAACTGCACCGCCGCTATGTAAATATATGAATTTATTAGGATAAAACGGATTTATATTTAATGATTACAGTGTACTTCCATTTGAATATTAAGACATGTTGCTTTTGGTGCCAGCACGCTAGATGATGCAAAGTTGAATTGTTTGAAGGAACAACGGGTCCGTGCGTATGATCTTGGATTTTCAATTTAAGTCCTGAATGCAGACCAGATGACGGTCAAAAAATGGATTAACTAATCTAGAGATATTGAAATATCAAAGATGAGATTCGGGGATCAGTTGAGTAGAAAGTAGAAAAAGCAAGTTATTCATTTGTGCATCGGTAGGAGTTAAGCTTCTTTCCTGCCACAATTGGTTACCAAATGGCAGACTAGGATTGTGCAAGTGATTAAAATACGGTCATGAATAAAGAGGAAAGGAAAGCAAAGCTATTAGTTAGCAGATCACTGCAGCAATAAAACGGTGAGTCGGCCGTTTAGCGACCTTGTTGGCTTGTACAATAAAGGAATATGACTGTACTGTTCAACAGCTGCTCCTCCAGGGTCGAGACTCAGGAGCTGACCGCTGTCATCCACCGTCTTAGATTGTGTCTAACAGATGGGACCGGCTTTAGGTTTAGCTGTAACGCACTAACGTACATCTTTCACTGCATCTCTGGCCGTTAATCTTGGGAAATTTCATGAGGTCTAGGAAGCAGAGCCCAAGCAGCGTTATTATTATTATTATTATTATTATTATTAATATAAAGCTGCAGGGGAAGCCCATCACACTACATGTTCAAAGGTTGAGCAATGGAATGGCTGCCTTTTTTCGTTAAAAGCCTAAAGTAGAACAGCCCCTGTGGAGTTTTATTATTCAATCATTCATTCGGCTACTGGTAATTGTGGCAGCTAAGGTAGGGTAATGGGATTTACTGTAGCTACACTACTTTACCAGCAAGAGAAAAACCCTAATAAAAGAGTGCAGCGCTGCCTCCGGCTCTGCTCTCTCTGTTTAGATCATGTTAAAGACATCATTTCGGTAAATCCTTTTGCTGAGAGTTAGATGAGAACACCGATACCACTCATATCTCTACACTAAATATAAGACTACAGTCACTTAGCTTAGCATAAGACTGGAAACGGGGGAAACAGACAGCCTGGTTCCATCCAAAGTCCAGCCACAACACCTTTAAAGGTGCACTATATGATATTCAAAGAAGTGATATAACAACTACTGTCTATGTAAAGATATAGTGCAGTAATGTCTACCTGAGCAGAGAATGAAGTCACTCTCCCTCTGTGTGTTGTTATCCGAGTTTTAAGCTTGAGTTGACGTAGCCGGGCCTGCAGCGCACGCTTTTAGTGCATGTTCCTGCATGCTAGCGCGCCCTGCTGGCTAGAAAACTGCGTTCATAAGGCAGTGACGGATGCAGAAGTGTAGCCCTCACCCTCCCAGTTCGCTCTGCTCTTGCGCTTTTGCCGGAGTTTGCGCCGTTAACACCATTAGCTCGAGCCACTGGCTCAGCGGTCGCCATGTTGAGAGGCAATAGAAATGCTCCCATGCTCGTATTTAGCACCTTTCAAGCTCACGAAATGAACTTCTCCAATTTGACTCCATAAAGTCAGCTATAGGAGGCTCGCAGTTTCCCCTCGTTTACAGTCTTTATGCTAAGCTAAGCTAACTGGCTGCTTGCTGTAGCTTCATATTTAGCATACAGACAGATGAGAGTGGCATCGATGTTCTTATATATAGCGCCCGACAAAAAGAGCAAATGAGCCCATTCACAACATGAACTTATTGTTTAACGATTTTATTCATCAAAATTCTGTTGATTTCCGTGGACACAAAATACGTCCCATTTCTACCCTCCTAGTAATAGCGCAGAAATCCTTAAACCAACAAAAGAAAGTCACTGAAAATAGCCTCCTGTGTGATCAGGACCTTGCGCAGTTTCGCCCTCCGGTGACCTTCAGGGGTCATGATGAAGGAGACGGCTGATAATTGAATCTCTGAATGTGTGAAGGACGTTATTATCAAAATATCACAAACATGACGTCGGACAGATTGTCCTCTCTGCTGTCCCCTCTCACTGTTCTGTCACTGACCGGTAGAGGTGAAGCAGGGGGTGTGTTGTCATTGAGTCCTTTCTCTGGACAGAGACACGTTTCAGTCATCACTTGAGTGCAAATAACAGGTCTCCTCATTTCATCAGGAACAGAGCTTTTGAAGCATTAGAAGATAATTAACAAGATGTTAGTCCCCAGTATATATTTAGATGAAGGAATCACAAAAAAAGAAAATCTTGCTCGACAAGTAGAATATATTTCCTCGTGGCTTTGATTTATTATTCCTCGGAGACCGTTTGGGGGAGCTGAAGGTTAAACAGTCCGTGTATGAGCTCAGCTCCTCTGCACACCTGCAGACAGAGATGTCTGGTTGCCTGGTTTCTTGCTCTAATAGCCACATCATCCACACAGTCACGGTTGTTGGCCCTCGTCGATCGGTTAGTCTAACAGGAGTTATGATGCGGCAACACAAACGCGCGGGGGCCGATGGACAGATCAAGATGCCCGCCGCCACTCACCTCTCCCAAACGCAGTCGTGTGTGAAATTGATTTTGCTGTTATTGCCTCCCTGTTGGCCCACCCCACCCCCCTCTCTCGCTCTCCCTCTCGCAAAATGTGCACAAAATACATCTCCTCGTTAAAGAATACACAGAACACCCATGTACTAATGAGGAGCCTGTCAACGACAGATTGATGTTTTTGTGGTGTGACTCTGCTGCTCCAAATGTGTGCATGATTGATGGAGCTGCCAACGCCAGGTTGTTGAGGGGTTGTTTTTTTCTCTCTTTCTCCCTTCTGTCAAACATGCTGTTCTAGATGACAGACAGACGAGGCTCCACACGTTTGCGCCTTGCCATTTTGAAAGGCTGACACGGTGCAGGTCTGTGGAAAGTTCAATCACAACCTGAGACCGAGCCCTCAATTCATCATTGTCATTTCAGCTGTTGTAATAGTTCAAGAGCATCAAAATAGCTTTATTTTTTCAAAAAAAAACGTTTTAAATTGAAAGCCATAGAGTGCAGCTGTCTGGGTAAAATGGGGCTATCCATTGTAGTATTGGAGCACTTTTGAAGTAAATCATGGCGTAACGCTCCCTCTAGTGGTTCGACTTTTAACACAATGCTTTTGGAGGACAGGCTCTTTTGAAACAGTTGAACGCCACATTAGAGAGAGATCTCTCCTGCTTTCTGCCAGTCAGGTATATTAATTACCTTGTAATGAGGGTTTAATTCAAGCATCTGCTCGTCTTGTATGGCTGGCTGACTGACCAGCACAACCGTTTTTGCATTGCATTCCTCACGATTGGGTCCGCTGGAAAGCTGGATTGTTTTATAACAGTTAAGCAAAAATAAAGCAGAGAATGGAAGGCGTCCACTACCTGACCCTGTCTACTTCATCTATTCACACTGGCAAAGGTGTGTTCAGAATATCAAAACAGACCACTGAGAGGACATTTTCAGTTGTATTTTAGTTTCTTCTTCATTTTTTAAATCGAGGTTCGAAAGTCTGTTTCGCTTTGTTTAAATTCTGTGTTTCCTGCTGACGGAGCAAAGCCTCCGTTATGTTTTCAACCTATGTCATTTACAGACACAACATGTACTGAAGTTGAGGGTGATCTGACTCACCTTGTTTAATATATAAATATACAGTTCATCCTCATTACAGAGTGACTTTGAAACCTGTGTATTTGTATAATTCAGTACTGTGAGTGACATTAAGACAGTGGTATAATATTCATGCCCATACACTTTAAATTCCAGTCAATATGAATATGAATCCAATAATGTCAGAAATAAAAAATGAACCTAACTAAATGAAAATACATCAAGTGTTGTTTTTTGCGCTGTAGTTTCTCTTTTCAAAACTTCATCTTCAGCGTGAGAACAGAAGACAGTATCAACCTGAACTATTATGTAGAGAGTCAAACTGAGTGTGACTTTCAGGTCAGGGGGGGGATCATCTGTTCACACACAAAAAAACATATGGCTGATGCCCGGTGGAGTGATGTGGGCACTGATCTCAGAGCAGACGTGTCAGACACAGAACAGAAAGCCCTCCGGTTCTAACTTCTTGAGCGAGGTGAACCACTAGAGGGAGCGACACTCTGTAATTTTTCTCATCAATCCAAACGATCACAATCAAATTGCTCTCAGTACACTCATACGGTCTGATTTTGCACTTGTGTTAGTGTCTAATTTCACAGTTTTTAAAAGCAAAAGATCTATGTGGATAGCGTTTTTATTGCGTTAAACTCGAGCTCTGACAGTGGGGGATTCACGGTCTCCGGCTAAATGAGGAATGGTTTCATTTCACGAGACACCCTCAAGAGATTAGCACAGTAACAATGTTATTATTCTCATCACTCATTTGTCTTCATAAATGACAATCCCTCAGGCCAAATCTTGCCCCTTGGGGGTTGGGGGCGGGGGTCACTCATGTAGAGTTTCTGGGTTTTCTTGGTGTAAACACAGAAGCTTTAGCAAAGAAAACGGACAGAAATGGGCTTCAACTTTATTCCCAAATATGGTCATACTTTAACATGTACTGTATCATGGTGTTTTGGACTCTACCAAGTGTCTATAACCTATTGGGAGTGTCTCCATGTTGTGTCTTTAATTAAGAGACACGCAGTATGGTTATATGTTCTGCTTACAGATTGTGCAATGAAGGTTTCGTCCCATCGTTTCATCATATTTCTACTGATGTTACTTTTTGTGTCCGATGCCACATGTGTCACATGTAAAAGTTTTTTGTTTTTTTTTAGTTCACTGTGATCTTTTTAAGATATTCTTCTTTTCACGCAGCTTGCGTATCTGAATGGTTTCATGTGCAATAAGACCTCACTTAACCCAGTTATGGGAATACCACGGGTAGTTAATAGGATAATACATTCTAATTTGAATTACAATCATCTTCTTATTTCTGCTGGTGTTTGTTTGCATCGGCGACGTGATACAATGATTTCTGGAGTCGTGATTGTGACGAAAACCCTCAATAATGATACTCAGTAGTAGGAGCACCAATTACAGCAATATTTAGAGTATTAGATAAGCCACGCAAAGACAGCAATAATGTAAACAAAAGCATAGAACATGACATACAGTGTGCTGACATCCTTAAATTGCTTCCTGACATAAACTAAAGCTGCACCAAAGGACTCATCACAATGCTTTTCCATTATGTAAGGATTTAAGATAAACACTTTAATTAAATTCCACTCACAATCAGACACTAACAGACCCTCGAGTTGTGCTAATATTTGAACAACAGTGCAGAGCTCTGAACGCGCTGGTTTGCAGGTGATTGTCTGCAACATTGCCTGAAACAAATGGATTTGTGGAAATGAAAATTGTGTGAATATTGTATACTCCGTATTGATGCTACGTTGAATTTATCTAAAGGGTGACAACAGACCATGGTATTAACTCCACCTCGTTCCGACATTCATTTTTTTGTCATCCTCTCAAGTCTTTACAGTCGATATTCTGATTTCTTTTAACTCATGTTTCATTTATTAGTCATTATCCAATGCACTGTTTTGAAAAAACACAATTAAACATGTTCGACAAATCCTGGCTTCACGTTGTAACTTCATTGTGAGCTGAGTACTTTACTAAGCAAGCAGGAGACACGGGCCATATGTCAAAGTCCTACTCTTGTGTCGGTCCTATGGTGATTAGCTAAGAGCCCAAATGTACCGGTGGACATTTGGCTTGTGTTCGACAATCTCATTTCCTCTTAAAGCATCGTTCATTTTATATTTTTAGCCACTTGGGGGCAGCAGAACAGCAACCTGTAAACACGATATTGACATTCTGTGTTGTCACGTTCTAAAGTTGATAAGGCTAACGCGTTAGCAAAGAGTTGCTTATGCACACATACAGGAGCAACTTTAGCATTCGTTTGTTGAGCTGGCGATTGTGCGGCTAGTGTTCATTCTCCCCCTTTCTCTGTTTTGGTCTCCACCAATGCTAACGTTAAATCCATTATGTTCACAAGCTAGCCGCTAACTTTGTCTTCCTGCTTGGTCTGTTGCTGGGCTAGCATACAGTTAGCTTGTTTACAGAGCTTTAAATTACTGCTAGCATCATGGTTTGCTTAACAACTAAAAACATGAATAATGAATTAAGTAAAACATAATGAAAATTCTTATTATCAAAGTAGCGTACTGTTGTTTTATCCGAGAAAACTGCAGTGTTGGGAAGTAATTATCTGTGTTTTCATTACTTCAAACTCTTGTTTTTGAAGTTTCATCGGCATCACTCTTTGCTTTGTTTGTTTAGCCGTATACGTTGACTTGCAACGTTAGCAGTAGACTGGAAAAATAACAGTACTCCCCTTCACACTCAAGTGAGTTTAAGAGCGAGTCTGTAGCGCTGCTGTTGCTCCGCCTACCCCCGCTGGTGGACATAACACTTCTGGGTGATGGGAAACTGTGCAACACTTGTGATTTTCATCACTTTCAAAACTTTCATCAGTGGGCCATAAAGTGGTGCAGTTAAGGGTTAGCATCGCACCGGTTGCCTCGACAAAAAGCCAATGGGATTTTTGCAGAAAATTAGCTCATTGGCAAACAAACGTTTATGATGATTAGGCTACACGTTTTGTTAAGCAAGTATATTCATTCCTGCAGCACTATATGAGTTCTAAAACCCGGAAACGAGTCGCCATTTTGGAACTTTCTGTTCCCTCATCTCAAATTTTTCTGATGCATAAAATAAGGTTTGTGGTTAACACAAGTTTAAGAGATTTTGACATTTTGCTCTGCAATATAAGATGTCACTAAATATCCTTCTTGTGAATTTTGACGCTTTTGTGTGTCTTTAGAATAACCGTGGTGTAGTACGTTTGTAGCCTAACCACAGCTTTTTACTTCTGGCGATTGCATACACGCTTCAAAAATCACATCAAGTGGTGTTTATTTGTGAAAATGATCTTCCTGAAAAGTGGCTATCATAAACTTGATTTCCACAGAGCTTATTTACTGCTACAATCTGAAATCCAATTTAAAAAATCCCATTGGTTTTTTCGTCGAGGGAACCAGTGCGATGCTAAGTTGACACCCGATCTAGTGTCACATCAACATATAAATGGTCAATATCGCGAATTAGCTTGACAGAAATACGGCACTTTAATTTCCGTCATATAAATCTCCAGCGAGCCTGCTGCAATCAATCTCAGTCTCAGCAGAAAACGAGCCATGCCATCTGTAAGTGTGCCAGCAATGTTACTGAGACAGCTGGAAGCTCCGTGTCATGATAGTGATTACATTAAACTGTTTGCTGGCCAAGAACAATCGTCGGATAAGCTGCTTGCTGCATTTAGCTAAAAGCATGCAGTCAAGATACTGTAGAGGGCTTATCTGATTGAGGAGAACAAGTGCAGATGTTAACAAGAAACACACTGTATTGCCTCACTTAGGTGGTTTTAGCGGCAACGTGGAAAGCGGTGCAACATGTGTAAAATTTCCCTTTCCCTACAGCTGACATGGCTACTTACAATTTTGAGGTATTATGCCTGTTGCACAGCCTTAGAGATTTCCTCAAGGTGTAAAGATAAAGAGCATCGAAATAGAGATAGGAAATGTCACTACAAAGTACAAGAGTGGATAACAGGACTAGTAGACGAGCCAAAGCTAAAGGCCTCTCCTTCCCCCTTCCCTTCCCTGTGTGCATGGAAAACAGCAGCTGCTAGGTGAGCTTGCCAGTTTTGTGTCACAGCTAATCACATGTAATGCCGGCGACCACTGTTGGCATCCTGCCGGTAAAAACTGAGAAATAAACGGCATAGTGAGAAACCTGGCTTTAATATCTGTCTCTTGACAAATGGTTATGTTATTTATAGATCCACTTAAAGGGCCAGTATATGTTGGACTCCACACGTAGATCACTCCGTCCACTGTTTTATACAGACAATTAAAGCTGCAATATATGTTGACAAAGGATCAAGTGACTACATGTAATGTGAAGGAGAATCATCAGCTGACTCTGAATTTCCCCTCAGCTCTACAGAGCGTTTTAGCGTCTTTCAGTGCATTGTTTTGGCACGCAACAATACTGTTTTGGTTTATTCTGACTGCTTTATATTAACTTCTGGCGGCTGTTTTGAGTGAAAACGCTCTGAGAGGACCACTGTACACTACCAGCTCAGCACCAAACAGCAGCCAGATGAAGTTAGAAAATAACTGGTGAACATAGTGCAGCGTTAAGCACGTTTAAGTGCTAGATATTTCCCTCAGGAGTCGGTGGAAACCACAAAACACAGCTAAAACAATATTGTGAATAGTTAATATTGGACATACAACCAAATGTTTTTTTCTGTGTCTCCCATTAGGCAACTATTTACGAACACATCATCCGCCACCAACAACTATACAAGGTGAAAATATGTACATCTTGTGTTCAAAGCTTGTTCATCCACCCCCCCAAGAGGCTAAAATATAATATCTTGCTGCTATAAGCGTCCATTTCACAACATCTATGAATAAGATCCAGTGTAAAATTGCGAAAATGTTGTCATTGCAGCTTTAATGTTCTTATTTGTCCAAATCAAATTGCTGTAGGTTTGTGAGTTTGAATTAATTTGTCTTCAATTG